CCAGCAGAGATTCATAAATTACACCAGAGACACAGTACAAAGATGACTGTGGTTAATATTGTCTGCTTATCTGTATTATTGTGTTGCATTGTTGGAGAAGCCTGTGACCTAAGATTTTCAACGACATAATTACTCTGTAGCTATGTTAGTTTGACAATAAAGAACCTTGAACCATTTCCGGTTAGCATTAGCATGTAGCGAATGCTACGTTTTGAAACCGTGAATTGAAGGTGAAATGACATGTGATGCATAGGCGGAGTTTGACATTTGCGCTTGGGGGGGCAAACCTTTTTTACTGACGTCAGTACACAGTCCCAACTATTGCGTGGGGTGCTACGGATACAGTATCAATAAAACCAGCGTTCACCGCACTGAGTATGACTTTTCCACATACGAACACAACTCGTCCCGTCATGCACGCCTCATGCACGCTTTATGCCCGCCGTACACACACACTCATATGGAAGGGGTGGTCTCTCCCCCCAACAACAGTGCATTACATCTGTAAAACTTATCATAACTGTGCACATCTTATACTTATTTGATAACTACTATATCCCTTGGTTACTTGAACACGCTACAATATTATTGTAGCGCCCCCCCTGCCCCCCCGCAAAATCCGCCTATGATGTGATGTTGTACCCTAAACACTGGGTTTAACACTCATTTATTGACGCTGAAATAACGTTTATTAGGGAATGTTTAAATAACCACAGACATCAGAATGATGTAATTTAGCAGCAGAAAACGGCAGGGATTGCATTGGACCCGCCCCCGTCGACGCCGGCCAATAGAAGAAGACAAGTTGATAACCCGTGAGCCACAGGAAGGATCGGTCTCTTTCCTGACCTCGGCTGACCCAACGCACACGCGACAGACAACCAGCTGAATGGGGAGAGCGCCTCTGTATATCACCGCATAATTTCTGTAATTAAATGCTGTTAACTTTTATAAGCTTCCCTTGACTCTTTTCAGTTAATCCTGCTCTCAGGGTTCAAGAATTCCTACAGAACCTATACAAGTTAGGGATGTGCATCTCCATCACTGAGGCCGATGCGATGCGCATCTCGATATGTTGCCACGATACGATACATTAACGATACATTTGAAGCACCAGGCGATGCGATACGATACGATTCACCCCTGTTGCGATACAGTTCGATACGATTTGATTCAAAATTATGCGATTCGGGGCGATACGATGCAATTCAACACGATGCAAAAATAATGATACTTCAATATGGTACGACAGAGGATTTTTGTTGTATCCCTTATATGCAGCAAATCATAAATTAACAAAAAAGTGCTTTACATAATTGGTTCTCTCTACTGCGCATCCCATCATGCTGTTTCTTTTTTACCTTTTTTACCTTAAAAAACTCTCCTTAAACAATTTAAGGAGCCCATGATTAACAATGTGCAAGTAACAGCTACCATAGTGCAATGCCCATACAGCTGCCAGCCTGATGTGCTTAACACTCATCCATAGGCTAACTCACCAGTGAGCAGAAAGCAGTGGTTTCTATAGGAACAATAAAGAATACAAATAACCTTTCACAAACAGGTATTTCATAACTGCTTACAGTGAGGAAGACATTTAAACTATTATTGGCAGTCACAGGCTGCTGTACACTAAACACCACTCTCTCTGACAGAACACCTCACTTAGTGATTTCACTCTGTCTAACTTTCAGGTTTCTCTTTTCAGCAGCAGAAAATAGTGCCATATTCTGCCATGCCTGTAGAAATGTTGTGTCAAATAATGCATACTATAGCACAGATGCCTTCACCACGAATGGCTACAAAACGATATCATATCCCAAGCTTATCAATGAGCTAATGTTGCAGCTGAAATGTTCTCCAGGTCACAAAGTCAACCTCACATGATGATGTGATACCAGTTTTCAAGCACAGTAAATATTATTAGTATTGTTCTGGAACCGGGCCTGTACATGGCCATATACTAAACACACTACAGAGCCCATTCCGTGTTCTGTTAGTGTTTACTTCCTCTCTGCCTTCTTCTGGTGATTTATCTGACGTCTAGCGCTCCATCTTTTAACCTCTTTTCCTTTCTCTTTCTGGATCCTCCTTAGCAACCTTCATTATAGTCCTTGACAGTGGTCTGTACTGTATTAACAACGTGTCACATGTTAAGAATTTACAATCAGAATTGAGTATTCAACTAAGCCGTGTAATAAAAGTTGTTAGTAGCCTTAAGGGCCTACACAGTTGTTATGCTATACCACATTGCCCTTCACTGGATGTATAATGAGCTGCACTAAACTACATTTCAGCATTTCAAATACCTAGCCATTCTTTTGTGGTTATTTTGGTGAAAGTAACTAAAAAGTAACTCTAAAGTAGTGTAACTCATTACATTTCAGAGACAGTAATATTGTAATGTAACTTATTACTTTCAAAAGACAGTAATAAGTAATATGTAATATATTACATTTTGGAAGTAACTTGCCTAACACTGGTCGCTAAGTTCCTCGTACTACTTGTGTACTTTAAAGCATCACAGCATCGGTTACAATTTGCGAGCGATGTTTCAAGTTGACCGTCTTTCTTGAAAAATCCGAAGTGTTGCCAAACGTTTGATTTGTAGGTATTTTTCGGTCCGCTGTGTTTCTCTTTCTCCTCGACTTCCATGTGTGTTGATAACTGAGACTCGCGGCCTCCCTAGTGCGAAGCAAAGATCAAAGGTCGTCTCTGCTGAGTGCTGACAGGATGAGGGGATATTATATGAATGAATCGTTTTTTTACCGATGCAAAGACGCTACAATCGATGCATTGCGAGTTCAACCCAAACTGTAGCCGATGTGCACTCTTTCAACCGGTGCACTCGCATTTTGAACGTTTATGCCGGTGCACCGATGCAAATCGCTGAATCTTAACATCCCTAAAGGCCCTGTCACACTGTCCCGAAATTGACACCCGATGGACACACAATAAAGGAAATGTTCAAATTCGGCTGTGATCGTAGCAACATCGGGCCATTCGTGAGGGCATCTTAAGCCATCGTATGACCGCCGGTGGAGTTTCTCAGGCTCCGGCAGCAACTTCGTGAGCGGCAACTTCGTAAGGTACTCGTGAGGGCATCTTGTCAAATCGTGTCATCTTCATGTTATCATCGGTGCATTCACCCTCACTCTGATCGTGGCGAATGCCCGATGGCACCGATGATAACAAGATGCCCTCACGATGCCCTCACGATGGCCTTACGAAGGGCAACATTTACACACGAATTCAACACGAAAATGAACCTTCGCAAGGTCCTTCGGCAATTTTTTGGCATGCCAAAGATTTTGCCACCGCTCACGAAGTTGCTGCTGGAGCCTGAGAAACTCCACCGGCGGTCATACGAAGGCTTAAGATGCCCTCACGAATGGCCCGATGTTGCTACGATCACAGCCGAATTTGAACATTTCCTTTATCGTGTGTCCATCGGGTTGTTTTATTGCACAACAAAATCATGTAAATATATTATGTAAATAACCCAATTTGTGTTCTGTGAAACTAAAAAGGATATAATATATTATTTTGAAGGACAGTTGACAGGAAGTTGTTGTTGTTATGGAAACAACATTACGGAGAAAACGTAATATTTTCTACATATAACGACGGATAAAGTAAAGAACAAAGTCTGAAGATATCACTACAGTATCATAGTACTGTAACATAATTGTTTTTGGTACTTTCATTGCAGTTGTATGTCTTAAATGTAATGTAAATGTTGCCTTCGTGTGTGGTTCATCATCGTGCGAAATTCACAATTCCATATTCGTGTGTCCATCGGGTGTCAATTTCGGGACAGTGTGACAGGGCCTTAATACAAGTGCATGTTTCAGGCCTATCAATTAACAACAGGAGGGGTCACAGACATAAGACCAGCTGTTAAATAAAGCTCTTCTGACCTTAGCTGTCATGTGTATATATATTAATGCTGCCCATTATGGGCACAAGCAATTTTCACCCATTTATTAATTATATGTTTTAAATGTGAGTGTTTCCTATCCCCTAAACCTCCAGGGATGTACACAGTTTAATACTGGCAACTTCTTATTATGGGAAATACGAAAACGTCTTTTAAAACTACAACTCCCAGTAGAGACGTGCCATAGAACATTTTGCGAAACACACAATAGCCAGCATGTGTAGTTCTGGGGGGGGGGGGGGGGGGGGGGGGGGGGGGGGGCTGGGCTGGACCCGTCCGAGTCCAGTTTTGGATAGTCTGCCGTGGTTCCATTCCATTTCAAAGAGCTGTTTGACGCTCGGCGTAACCTTGTCGCACTGCCACTCCAACATCCAATCACAGAGCTTGAGGACTAATCATGGGGTTTATAAAGGAAAGCGGATGTTGTAGTCCCAAACGATAGCTGAAGATTCTGGGTAGTGTAGTGTCTTATCATTACCAATCAATATTGTGTAATTAACAAGGATAAACTGATGTTTTTTAGTGGATGAGTAATGCAGATATCACTGTGTAATCATTTGACAGTGAGGGGAATACTTCCGGTTTTGTTATGAAAACTTCGAGACCGGAAATACTGTTTTCACCCCGTGAGGGTTGACGCTAACTTTACATGGAAGCTGCCGCATATACAGTACACGTTCTCCTGGCGAGACCTCAAATCATCTTCGTAATATCTATCAAATTATAGATCCTACACATCCACTGGACGTAGATTATAATAGTACAATATACACTTCTCGCTAGAAATCTAATAAAAAAGCATTTTAATGGCTACAATTTAGGATTTTCCAGAGAGAGTTATTTGTGAATAAGAGAGCCTCCGGAGCGTTTGCAATCAACGGGAGCATGTTGTTTCTTACACGACTACACTTTAAAACGTGACTGGGAGGAAAGGACGTCCCATTGCTCTTAAAAACATAATATCTCACTTCCTCTCTCCTCACATGGTCCCATGCATTTTGTTGTGCAACAGTGTAATGCAAATGACAATAATGATCCTCAAACAAACAGGAAAGCAACAGATGAAATAGTATACTTTAATAATAACTCATTAACATTAAAACATCCAACCAAGTTATTGTGTTTTTGTGTATTCTCTGTACTCACGGTAAGTGGTAGGACAAGGCCAACAACATTAAATAATACGATAAATATAACCGAAAATTCATGAACAATGTAAGTAGGAGCTTTGGCACTAACAGACAGTACTGTAACAATTTTTTGACCGAAATGTTTCCCACCAGCCTATAGTCCTGCAGCTGTATGACAGTTTGCAGATACTCTGTGAACACAGATTATGTATTCCCTGTCTAATGTAATGGTTCAAGTCAATTTCAAGTTTCTAAAAAAATATAATTGAAAATAATCGTATTGATTTTCATAAGACTAAAACAAATAATGTATCTTGAGAAAATGAATTATTTTTTTTTTTAAAGTGTCTCAATACAGCTGACTGGACAGATCGGTTTCCAGAGACACCAGAATGTTATGTCCATATATACTGTATATCTATACAGTTTCGAAATGAGTCAATACCATAATAGTAACCTGTGTGTGTATGAGCACATGTTCAACATTTGTTAACATGCAATAAGAGCTACAGCCACTGTTTAATGTGTCTCAATGCAGAAATGTGAGCAGAGCAGTGAGCCAGGTTCCCAGCCGGCAGCCCTTCACCCAGAGCAGCAGCTCGTACACACTGAGCCCGCACAGCTGCACACACTCCGCCAGCGTGACCTGCACCCGCCTGCTCCTGGACCGGGCCTTACTCCTCCTGTGCCTGTCACCGGGGTCAAGAGTCAGGAACTGTTTAGTTTAGCAGGATAATCTCCACATATTGACACCACTTTTACGATTTTTTTAAGTAAATTGCTAACGTTAGGCTATAAAGGAACTACAGCACAGTCACATGACTTCACGTCACCACAGCTAAGCTAAAAGCGGCTAATGATCAGCGTCTTGACCTTTAATATTCGCATTTAGTAAATTGTTAGCTGTTCTTATGAGTCATAGAAGCCTCAGACCAGTGGGGTATTTACTGACGTATTTTATGTCCTAGAACAAAACTCTTCAGCTTGGGTTAACCACAGACCTTATTTCAGGATAACAATCAACAACACATTTTGTTTTACTTTGAGCCAGGGGAAGTGGTAAAAGCTGACTAATTTCCAGGTTGTATTCCTGTTCCACGTCACTAGAGAGGAGAGAACAACTCTGCTGACCTGGCCATAGCACGTATGCAGCAGCGGGACATGTTAATGAAGGACGAGGACGAGGCTCTGGTCTGTAAGGTGGTCTCGATGCCCCTGAGCAGATCGTTGGTCTTCAGCAGCAGCAGCATCTGCCGGGGAACTCTGTTCAGCAGCTCGCTAATCTGAGGGAGGTACTGAGCCGCATTGGTCTGGATCTCTACATCCTGCCGGGGAAGACACATAGGAAGACAAGCTGTGTCTTTACTGGATCCACACATGTAGTGACAAGAATGAGAAAAAAAGATCACATACACTCCCACATTTAACGGCTCTGCACTTGCTCCCAGTAAAATGTTGAACTCTTATTCTTGCCTACAAAGCCCTTCATGTCAGGCTCTATCCTATCATAAAGAGCTCATAGTTCCATACTGTCCCAATAGGGCATAACATTCCAAGAACAGAATCCCAGTTTGTGTTTAGGAGTCAGACTCCCTCTCCACATCTAAAAGCAGGCTTAAGACTTTCCTTTTTAATAAAGCTTGTCGTTTTGTGGCATTGTGCCCTTGAGCAAGGAATTTGATTCAAGGGCTTTTCCCTAAATTGTGTGGATACAAATCTAAAATTAGCGAAGAGTCTGATGACTGAGACAAAAAAGTGATGCACCGGGGACAGGTGGTGTTGATATCATGAGGAAAAAAGACCCTAGCAGAAATGACAACACACTATCAATCACAGCATAGAGGAAGGAAATGATGAAAGAGGGAATATTTTTGCCTCAATTATCACTATTTGTCTCTTTGATGTTGAAGATGTGTGTTTGAGTGTCAGTGTCCAGCTCTACTTCAAAGGCCTCTCCCTGCTGCACATCAGCGGGCCTAAATCACACTATTAGTCATGGAACAAAGTGGAAAGCAAGCTTACAAACAGTTAGTTATTTCGAAAACTCAGACACAAAGTAAACCAGGAGTGGGAGGAGAAATACCTTTTTATAGCGTTCACCACTCTGAATAGAAGCACAAACAATATTTAGGTTTATATTTCCCAATAGGTACTGTAAAACGAACTTTTTTAAAAACATCATCAACCCATGTGTCTGGACTGTCAGAGCTATTTTAAGCCACCATTAGCACCGTCTACAACAACAACATTAAACATCTTAAGAACGCTGTGGGTACACAGTGTGCAAACTCGACCAGATAGGATTAACTGCTGTTTCCAGAGACCTGTGTAAGTTCTATTTTGTTTTTAGACTTCTCTGTTTCAGTCTACTCTGTATACATATTTTGTAGTTCATCTTGCTAAAATTGTGTTCTGGAATAACAGAACAGCTAAAATACCTGTTTTTCAGGCAGAAATCTGGGTAACTTATTTTTACAGAAATCTTAAAACTGTACCATCTGCTTCTTAGGGTTGACTTTGATTTAAACAATTGTACAAATACTAAGGGCTTTACTAAGGGTAATTGTAGTGATGTTACGTATTGCGCCGAGGCTTCGGAGCGTGTGTCGAGTAATCCCCGAAGCTTTTTGTAAACCTTGTATCGAGGCTTGTATCGTTTTGGGCCAGTGACGTCATCAATGACAAACGAAGCCTCGCTGCCTGTCGATACCACGTGACTGCTTCACGAAGTGATTCAGATCGGTTGAACCACAACGCTCATAATACCCATGGATGTATAATAAGAACAATATAACCCCTCCTGTACCCGGCCCGGTGACACGATGGAATTAAGAGAGCTCAGACCCTCACTTATATAGAGGTCGGAACATGTCAAGTATCAATGAATAAAAGCATAAATAAAAGTAGGAATAAAAACATGAATAAATGAATAAATACAGGAATAAATATGGTCCAGTGTTGTCAGGGAGATTCAGTGTGTGTGCTGTGGCTCAGCTGGAAAGCAGTTGACTCATGACCGCAGGGTCCCTGGTTCAAAGACTGAACAATACGTATTTGTTGTTGTTATAAAAGCTACAGCTAAATGAGATAATGTAGTTAATAAATGTATTCTTTGATATGGTTTAGCCTTTCTCAGGCTACAACATGGTTAAGTTTATGAATATTATTAAGGAATACAAATCCCTCTTTGCAATGTTTACCAGCCTCTTTAGGCTTTTCAATCACAATCATTCAACTGGAATAAATACAATATTGTTAACATGAAAATATGATTTAATGTTCGTTGTTTAGAGTTATTCTAAGACTTTACTCATTGGGAACTCGGTATGAGATGATGGAGCACACTGTTGAGATGTCCAATCTGCCTGTTTTACACACTTTGACCAACAGGGGGTTTGTGTTCAAATGGTTCAAATGAAGCCCATGATGAAGCCTCATGAGATGAAACCTTTGTGAACCAATTGGCTGGAAATCTTCAAAGCTTCATAAGGCTTCATCTCGCCATCACTAGGTAATTGTATTAGGGTTAACTTTATAACCTCTGTAGCCAGGGTTTATTCTGAAATGTGTCTGTAAAAAGTGCATGACAAAAGGCCTGGAGGCTCAACTGATTGTGTGAAGTGACACAGTTTCTACTGGTGCCCATCAGCTGCAAAGAGTTAACTAATTAAAGGGGCGTGGCCCCACAGCTGTGACAACTCAGCAATCAGGACTTGTGTCCATTTTAGGCAGCATTTTCCTGGAGCGTCAGACAATAGAGTCCTGCGGGAGTCACGAGGGAGGCTCATCCTACTTGGACTGAGCTAAGTATCGCTGGTGTTTTTATCCCCTCATGCTAAAACATGTGTATATTCTCTAGTGATGGCAAAATGAAGCTTTGAATGAAGCGTCGAACCACTTGGACAATTGTGTCGGAAATAGGTTAATTTCTCGAAGCTTCAGTTACAGCGACCTCTCCTGGCGAAGTGCAAGGCTGCAGTGGGTTTAACGTATCTTTGCCTTGAAAAATATTTGATGCACACACACACACTAAGACTGAATATCATGTTCTATTTGCAATTAAAGATTGATAATTGTGTGTATTGGGTTATTGAGAAGAGACTAGAGAGTGATGGAAATGATTTTGGGCGGAGAGGGCCTTTTATCAGTTATTAAAGTATTAAAGTTGAAAAGCAATGATTACAAGTTCATCCATTCCGGGATTTGAACCAGCTGCGCGGAGGACACGCCGCATTCGCGCCGCCGGCTGTACCCACTGGGCTATCTATTCCTTAAACTACTGAACTGTTTTTATATTACTCATTGTCTTTTTGTTCACAACTTCTCCACATTTCGAAGTGTTTCCCAAGCCAGAACGACCTATCTTTCTTCCTGGCTTGCTCTATAATGATCCAATTCAAATGCAATACCAACAACTCAACACAACAACGCAAACTACGACAACAACCCACACATTGCGCATTGTTTAAAGCGGTTATAAAGTGTTGAAGTGCTCAAATTCGAAACTGTTTCAACCTGTCACCTGTCAGAATAGAGACGAGGCAGTGCATTGAATCACCTGATTGGACGGTGAACCAGTGAGTTGATTCATTCAGGAAATGAAGCAGTTGCTGCTTCGGACGTCACATATCACGTGATTTGAAGCAGTTGCTGCTTCTGACGTCATATGTCACGTGATTTGAAGCAAGCTTCGAAGCACTGCTTCTATGGAATAGGAAGTCCAGGGTTGAAGCTCCGTTTGAAGCTTCAGCGTCAAACTGCCATCACTAATATTCTCCATTCCTGTTTATGTGTCCTCTCGCAATTATCACTGGCCCCGTGTATCTCCTAATCGCTATAACCGGCCTGCTCTCATCTATCCCACATGCTCCACTGAGATCCAGCATCTAGTTTCAGGCGGCCTGTGGAACTGCCAGTCAGCTGTTCCTAAGGCTGACTTCATCTCTGGCTACGCCTCCCTGCAGTCCCTGGATTTCCTTGCTCTCACTGAGACCTGGATTACTCCATTCAACACATCCACCCCAGCAGCTCTCTCCACAGCATATTCCTTCTCCCATACACCCAGACCCACTGGCAGAGGAGGTGGCACTGGTCTCCTGCTCTCTCCCAAATGGAGTTTTTCCCTCTTCAAGCTACCTAACTTCACTCCTTCCACCTTTGAATTCCATGCCGTCACAGTAACCCATCCTATACAATTAACCATTGTTGTTCTCTACCGTCCACCAGGCGCCTTGGGGGACTTCTTGAAGGAATTAGATAATCTCCTCTCACACATCCCTGAAACTGGCCCTCCCGCTGTACTTCTCTGAGACTTCAACCTCCAGACGGGGAAGATAGACGAACTAACATCTCTGTTAACCGCCTTTGCTTTCTCACTGTCTCCGTCCCCACCAACTCATAAAGCTGGCAATGTCCTTGATCTCATATTCTCAAGGAACTGCGCTACTTCTAACCTCTCTGTAAACCCGCTCCACACATCCGATCACTTCTTCATTTCATTCTCTCTACCCCTTTCCAAACATAACAAACTAATCTCTTCTCATCCTGCACCTGTCCGCCGTAACCTTCGCTCCCTCTCCCCCCTCTACCTTTGCCTCATCGGTGCTCTCAGCCCTCCCTTCCTCGGACTCGTTCCAACTACTACCTCCAAACTCTGCTGCAGAAACTCTCCTCTCTGCTCTCTCATCCTCTCTGGACTCTCTCTGTCCTCTCACATCTCGGCAGGCTCGTCAGTCCCCTCCTACTCCCTGGCTAAATGACGCACTGCGTGCTAATAGAACCGTCCTTCGGGCAGCTGAGCAGAAACGGTGGAAATCCAAACACCATGACGACCTCCTAACCTATCAGGCTCTCCTCTCCTCTTTCTCTTCTTCGATCTCTCAAGCAAAAAGCACTTTCTTTCAAGATAAGATCCAATCTTCCTATTCCAATCCCAAAAACTATTGTCCATCTTCTCCACCCTCTTGGACCCCCCCAAAGCCCCTTCCCCCTCCTCACTTCTGTCAAGCGACTTTGGTAACCACTTTGAAAAAAAGGTTGATGATATTCGCTCTTCTTTTTCTGACTCACCTTTACTCACCGCTGGTTCACCAGACCCTCCTTCCACCAACACACTAACCTCCTTTGCCCCTCTCTCTCCAAGTGAGGTTCTTACCCTCATTACCTCTGCCCGCCCTACCACCTGTCCTCTGGACCCTATCCCTTCAAACCTCCTTCAGACTATCGCTCCTGATATTCTACCGTTTCTCACCCATTTCATCAACACTTCTCTAACTTCTGGTCACTTTCCAAACAGTCTCAAGGAGGCAAGAGTAAACCCTCTCCT